GCACTCTGGGTCTCATGCCAAGCAAGGGGGCGGGCGGGGAAGGGCTAGGCACTCTGCACATGTTCAGAGGCACTGGTGTGGTGGGGGGGGCGGCGGCGGCGCGGGTGCCGCGCACCGATTTCGACGTCGACTTCATCGAGGCGTATCTCCTGGCGGAAGAAAAGGGCGGCGGGCTCCCCTTCCTGGCTGGCCGAGCCCAGGTTGAGGAAATGGAGGAGCCGCTCGGCCTCCTCGCCGTCGCAGCGGTTGAGCAGCTCCTCGAAGGGAGCCCCGTCTTGGACGCCCAGCGCCTTCCGCAGCCGCTCGCCCACCCACTGCACCCGCACGTCGTCCATGGCGCGGCTCTCCGGCCCGGAGAGGCGGCTCTCCCCCTCAGGACGGGCTGCGGCGGTCCCTTGGTCGGGGGGCCACCAACCCACGGCAAGCGGGAAGGCTTCGAAGACTTTCCCGTTAGGCCTAGGCCTCGAGACGCCCGGGCGTCGCCATGGCAACGGAGCGGGCCTGGGCCGGCGGGCCAGCGCCACCCTCAGGCCTCCTTTTTAAAAATACCTACTCATTTTATTTCATTTCTCGGTCTGACCCAGGGGCAGAGCAAGGAGAAAACCCAGTACCTCAAACACGCCGTCATGAAGTGAAATGTGTTTTTATTTTTATTTTTTATAAATTTTGGGGTTTTTTGGGGGGGAAGCTTGCTTTTCCATGTCAGATTTCAAAGAATGTCGCCTTCAAGCTTCGTACTTCCGCTTCCCGAGGTCCAAAAGAAAGACCAAAACCGAAGTGCCCCTGAGCATGTACAGAGGGCCTCCCCCCCCACACACTGAGTGATGGACGCCAGCCCTAAGAGCTAACCTGTTTTATGTATGAGGAAGTGGACTTGTCTAGAAAAGCTCCCCTTAAAAATATACAGTAATCGGCTTTAAGGCGCCACCACTTTTTTTAATTACATTTTTTTCTTATTTTATTTTTGCTTTTACCTAGATCAACAGGAATCTATCCCTTCCACAATATACCTGATCGGCTTTCCTCTGCTTCAGGATCACCCCATGAGTGAAAACATAATCTCTACCATGGCTGGGGGGGGGGCTTCATTTTTTTTCTCCCCATCTACTATTTCTTCCACCATTTAATCCCTAAATTTTTAACCTTGGATTCAGCCCACTTCTAAAAGAACAAGGGAGATGGGCATCCGTTGCAAATCTGGGCAGATCCGCAGAATGAAACGTACAAAATCTACATTCGCAGGACAGTCTCTTTGTATTTTTTGTGGGTGTCTAGGCAGGCATTTAAAAACCAGTTTACTTTTACTTAAAAAAAACCCTGCCCTTCCACTACGGCATGGTCCAGGCTGCATAAATCTAAACATCTCATTAAATTTGCCCAATTCTTGCTATCTCTCTCTTTTTTTTAAAGGACTGAGGTCTTTTTTTATAACTTGCAGGTATTCTATTCCCCCCTAATTAAATCATAATTACCCAGAGATGTGTATCGCTGTCTGTCATTTAAGAGAAAAGCCATATGTTCATTTTAAGCTACAATTCAACAAGCAGAATGGATGTCCTCAAAATGAGCAATTAGCTTTTATTTGAGTAGGAAAGTAACAAGATTAGATTTATTCTGGGACTTATAAAATTATTTAAGGTATTGATATCCCCGTTCTGTTTGAGTATTTTTTTTAAAAAAAATCCTTTAAAAGCTACTTATCTTCACAGAGCATAAACAAAACATGTTCAATACCAAACTGGCTTCTGTGTCCAAATGAAGCTGTTACCTGATCGTGCAAGTTTTAAACTTCCAAGCCGTGGAATGCTACATAAAAAAAGGAGTATGTACTAGTGTCAAAGATAACCAGGAAGTTTGCTCAGTAAAGCCAAAATATCTTCACATTCCCGTACTGAAAAAACGTAAGAGCATACTTTGTTTTCAGAGAAAACTTTTTGGTTGTGCAAATACATGAACACTCTTGGAAGAGCAGTTCGAATACTTAAGACTTTCGGAAGGAAAGTCTTCTCAGGTAGTAATCCTGGGAAAACATTTAAGGAGTGCTCCTGTATCTTGCTGCAAATAGACATCTCCCACAATGAACCAGAACTAAATGCTTCCAAATTCTTCAGTAAACCTGAAATCCAGAGTGGTTTTGTGGCCCTTCTCCTAAAAAAAATTTACAATATGCAATGGAAACATTGGCAGACCTCTTGTCCCAAATGGAGGATTTAAAAGAAAATCTTAGCACCTATTAAGACTACGTATCAAGTCTTAACAGTTCCCTATGAATACTGAAAGTTCAACAGCATTCTTGGTTACTATCAGATTTTCTTCCGCTCTGAAATTACCCATAGATATGGAAATATTAGTGGCAACGTCCAAGGAGATACACAGTGCAATCCTATGCATTTTTAAAAAACTCCTCACAGTCCCTCTCCATTCAATGGGGCTACTCCCAGGTACATATACATAAGGATCATGCTTCAAGGATTTCTTAAAGCAAACAAATAGTTCTTTAAAGCAACTACAGCATTTTTAAAAGGAGTAATCTGATGTTCAGAATCAGATATATGTGCTCAGGAAAGGAAAACGCACATTTGTTATGCCCGTTTATAAGAGGTCCCACATTTGCAAAGTCCCAACTACGAGGTCATATATTACAAAATAATTTTCGCCACATTATAAGGCAATTAGTGATGTTCTTTTCTCCAGGGAGGTGTACAAAGATGATACCTAAGAGCATGATTATTTTCAAACAAGTCCAGAAACAGCAGCCAAATCATGCAAGGTCTCTATTAAAATATAAGGAAATTTCTTGAAAGGAGAAAGGTGTGAACTTGTATCCTTCGCCCGCATAGAATTTGTTTTGAAACTCTACCCTGCAATGAGAAACAAAATCAGATTAAGATGAAAGCCATTAGACATGGAGATCTCTAAAAACTTTGCAAAATTGTTCTGCCAACAGGAACTGAATTCTTAGGCTGTACAAATTATTTTCAAAGTGAAGCATTTTTAAAGTTCGGAAAATATTCATTTCTTTATGCAAATAAGCCACATTCAAATTAAAAGACCCAAAAGGTTTTCTGAGCGAGAGAGCTTCATTACCTATCTACGAAAAAGCTAAAAAAGAAAGCACATACCAGTGAAGTCGTATAGCGTGCAGAAAAGCTGAAAGACCTTCCATGAGTAAAAGAATGAATATTGTTAAAACCATAAATAAGGCTGAAACTGGAACCAGCAGCAGGATCCCATATGTGGCGTCCACACGAAGGCCCACTCTCATGATCATAGCCCATAGCACTTCCGATAACTCTAAAAAAAATTGTTCACAAAGATTCATTTAGCAGATCACCACTTACCTAAAAATAAAACAGCCTGCTGCCTCAGGAAGTTGACTATGCTAGTATATTGTCCGCTTTAACATGTTCCTCCTCTTCTTTTTTGACCCATGAGATCAGAAACATCTGCTTCCAATTTCCTTTAACAACCATCAGGAACTCAAAGAACTTAAGGTTTAACTAATGGAAACAAGCCAGGATCAAACTAGGTTTCCAAGTGTTCATTTATTCTCAAACCATGGTTTAATAATGGATGTACAAACGGACCCTTCAGATGTTATTGGTCTACAATGCTTCCTCCCTAGCCAGGACAGGCAAATGGTGAGAGATTTTGGAAACTGTGATCCCAAAACATCTGAAAGGCCCTAGTTTAAATAAACTATAGTCACAAGTTGGGCCAGTGCCAAACTTGGTTAGCTTAAAACTAGAAATAATTGTTTTTGTACTTCCCCATAGAGCAAAGGAGAAGAAAAGGGCAAATTCTAATTAATCATTCATGTGTCCGACTGTTTCCCTAACCTGGTTTTTACCAATCGTATACATAGTACAGCAGCCTTTGGTCCCAAAGGAACAAAATGTGTTCTTTATTAATTTGTGTATTTTTCAAATCACAGGAAAGAGGCCAGGAGGCTTTTTAGATAACAGAACATCTGAAATCGTCCGTGGGATACTTACGTGCATGGGCCAAGCTGAGTGCCCAAAGCCTCAAGTATGACGCCGTGTTAGAGATGCATCCCAGGCAGTATTCAATGGTGTGAATAGCTTGATCCATGAATACATCTAGAAAATTAAACTAAAACAAGATGAAGTGTAAAAATATGGATGCACACAGAAGTTCTACGGCAAGCAAGTCAAAGTGAAAAAGAGTTCTCAGAAAGGAGAAAGGCGCACGGGGAAGTCACTGTTATTAGCAAATCCTTTCTGGTAGAAGGATCTATTTATAAAGCATTCTTAACATACATGGCATATTGAATCAATGAATAAAGATGACCAGTCTCTGCCCCAAGAAGCTTACAATCTGGGAAGGAAGGAAGGAGCTGATTATGGATAAGAGGAAGGAAGAAGCTGATGATGGATAAGAGGAAGGAAGGAAGGACTCCCTCTCTCAAGGAAGGTGGTCAAGGGTAGACAGGTCTGGGCTGAGGAGTTAATCCCAAGACTTCATCGGGGAAAGTGTGATTCAACAAGAGCTTGAAAAGCAAAAGGCAGCATCTGTTCTGAATGGGGTATAGAATAGTGTGTAATTGTTCTGCAAGTAATTCCAGATTAGTCATCAAAAAGATAGCCATAAAGGAAAGGGCAGTGAAGATACATCCAAAGTAATACAAAGCCACAAAATACATACACATATTTTTAAAACTCTACAACTTCAATTAAGTGAAGGGAATTCACTTAATTCTGAACCAATGGTTAAACATACTATATATGCGCATACAAAATACACATTTACCACTTCTTTATCCTCGTCTTTATGTCTGGTATCCAAAGAGCTGCCTCCGTCTTCCGTATCGTGAGTTATTAACAAAGCAATCTCCTCGTCACTTTCTTTTCTTACTAGCCGGTAACCTTTCTGTAGGGAAAAAATCAAGACATGTTCTCTTTATATACCATATTTTAAGAACCGGCAGTGGGGAAAGGGACGTTTTCCCATCAAATATAAACCTGTTCCCCATACAATTATTTCAGATACATACTCGGTACGCCGCAATGCCTCGGCCACCGCTGTTCAACCAGTATAAATACAGTGGTTTTCCAAAAAGCAACACAGGAACGGAAAGCGCGGCCACAGTCATCAGAATTCTCTGTACAATAATCTGTTTCGGAGGGAAGGGGACAGAAGAAAAAGCTGCTTTATAAAGAGGTCGGCTTTTTGTTAGCAAGACAAAAGCTGTCCCCAAACCTATCTAACTGCAGCGAAAAGGCATTTTAAACGCGGCAGTGCATCTTTCTCTTAGAATTTTAAGACTACCTGTTGTGTCATGCCAGCTTCTATGAGGTACGCACAATTAAAAAAAACAAACCAGGAAATGTATACCATGTTTCCTCGGAAATAAGACAGACTAAAGCAAAGTTATATAACTGTAAAAGAGCTTCATCTTCCAGTTTTCCAGCCAGCTTTGCAAAACACATCAAACCAACAGGAGGCTCTTTCCTAAAGCCACTGATTTCAGCTAGCGAGATTTAAGTACAGTACTTTCTTTCAACTTCCCCCTTAAGGAAAGTTTGGAATATGAGATTTGAGACAAGACAGGGGGAGGGAATTTTGTCTTTCAAGTTATAAACGGTTACCCACCTGTCCAGAGAAAAGGAAGTTATCTGTTTTCCCAGAAAACATGAACATGTTGATGAACTGAATTAGAATGCTGGGAGCCGACCTGGAGTTTTCGACACTGAAAGCCAGCCATTTATAGACGATCATAAATACAAGATATCCAAAGATGGACAGAATAAACAGAAGTTGAGGGATGAACACGAAATAAATATTGTATTTCTTCTTAAAATGCCTGTTGAAACGAGAAAGAAATGTGTCGGATTCTTGATCTAGAGTGGCCATCAATTTTATACAGAAAATTCACAGAGAAATAAATTCACCATCTATAGAGTGCTTTAAGAAGAACAAGGTTTATTCATTTCCAAGAGGGACATCTGCCTTGGCAAAGAAGCCTCCAACCTTCCCACAGGCTGCTTTCCTTTTTAGTAAAATGCAAAGCAACTAAGAAGTGTGCTTTGCAGGCTGTAGCCATGTGGAGATGCTTCAGTAGGAACTGTGGGGTGGAATGAGGAGCGAGACACAGAATAACAGTACATATAAGGTTCCTTATGGTCTAAGGCAGACATTAAACGATGAGCTTACATTGGTTGCAGAAGCTACACGGGGTAATACAATCTGACAGAGAAATCAAGGTACAGTAGGACCCCAGTATCCACTGTTTCACTTATCCGCAGTCTGAGAGTATTAAAATATTAAATGAAAAAAATGTATTTTCACGATGTATTTGCCAGAACTGGCCACTAGAGTGAGCTAGAGACCATGCAATATATTCTAGTTGAAAATACTTTTCTCTGGATTTTTTTCTTTCTTTTACCATGCTACGTACAAGACCATGCAATATATTCTAGCTGAAAATACTTTTCTCTGGATTTTTTTTTCTTTCTTTTACCATGCTACGTACAGCGTTCACTACTATCCATGGTTTTCAGCATCTGCGGTTACAGGGGTCCTGCTGTACACGAAATGTGTGTGTGTGTGTGTGTTTAGTCGTTTAGTCGTGTCCGACTCTTCGTGACCCCATGGACCAGAGCACGCCAGGCCCTCCTGTCTTCTACTGCCTCCCGGAGTTGTGTCAGGTTCATGTTGGTTGCTTCGCAGACACTGTCCAGCCATCTCATCCTCGGTCGTCCCCTTCTCCTCTTGCCATCACACCTTCCTAACATCAAGGTTTTTTCCAAGGACTCTTTTCTTCTCATGAGATGGCCAAAGTACACGAAATAATTGCTGGATATTCTGTACTCACCAGTGGTTAAATCCCCCTAGGACAACTCCAAACACCATGTGGACCACTCCAATAATTACAGACATTTTCATTTTGAAGGAATTTAAGAAACTGAGGCGATTGCCGGCTAGGTTCCAAATCTAGAAAGAGAAACGGAAAACACAAAATGTGATGGCACACGCCACAAGTCCTAGATATTCTGACTCGGCTACGCTATTACGAAATATAGCAATAAAGTATTTCCAAGAAAATTCTGGATCAAATGCATTTGCTTCCAAAAAGTAACGCCACTCAGTAAAAATTAAAGAAATGAAGAACTGGAGCTGTAATTAAGTAACTTTCCAACCCGAGGTACAGTATTCGAGACCAGAAGGACAGTCATAAACAAAGCCAGGGAGAGCCAACACAACGGAGGCACCTGTCGCGTGATAAAGAGATACCGAAATGGGAGGCTATGATCCGGGATCCCTCCAGTGCCCGAAACAGAAATGAGGAAGGTGATAAAGCTTTCTAGATTGTAGAGCAAGCTTTCTAGATTCAAGGGGAAAAATCAAAAAGTACGAATCCTTCTCAGGCCCATCATCAGAACACATCAGAAGCTCCACAGAACACTCACCGGATCGATGCCAAAGGGGTAAGCTCCTTGAAACACGCCTGTCACGTTTGGATTCAGAGTTAGGTGCTGATTATTCAAATCCTCGTCACTGTGGAATAATGTTGTTTCAAAAAAAGGGGGGGGAGAGGCACACATAAACAAAATTAAAACTTGAATGCAGACACGTTTAACATTGCACTTGATTGTTTGCCAAGGCGTTTTCCTACTAAAACAATTCAAAGCAGCGTAAGTAACCTGAAGGTAAAATTACAGAATAATCATTGTATTTTATTTTTCTGATTCATAGGCTGCTTTTCTCCCGGTCAGGGGCCTCAAAGTGACTCACAGTATTAAAAAGAATAGATTTTACAAATGCAGTAAGTAATATATTCAAAAACAATTAAACTATAAAATGTAATCTGCAGAGTGTAATAACTATGCCCGAGGTACGTCATTCCCCTTTCACTCTGCTACACAAGCAGTTGCGGCAGTTAAGCTGTTGATTTTTTTGCACACATGTGAAAATGCTTTGTAAGGGAATCTAAATAATATATATATTTTTTAAATCGCACAAGTGGCATGTGCATTTGATGCACCCATGAAATTAGCAAAATGCACACCAAGCCAGGTGTAGCTTTGGGTCCCGACACAGTAGTTTTGTTTTTCGATCACACCAAGCTACCTGGGAACAACTTACCGCCACTCCTCTTTGAACATCGGGGTGACGTTCCAACGGGAGCCAAATATAATCAAGGACTTTGAAAAACAGTCATTGTAGATCAGACCCGTATACACAGAAAACAGTCCCATTAGCAAAATGATGTATCGTCCTTGAAAAAACATCTTCATGATCTGTGAATATTTTAATCAGGCAAATGAACTCCACAAGGCAAGATCCTTTGTTACAAACACACGGCGCATAAAAGCTTTGTTTTCATTTAAGAACTCTATTGGAGGTGCACCACTTGGGGCAGCATCCAAACCGGCCAGGGGTTCAGCGCAAGGAGCAACCGCTATATTTTTACCCCAGCTTTCTCCTTAAAAAGGGGGCTTCCACCAGCGCAAGACAATGTTTTAAAGCTAAAAACATGCATAAAAATACAGACGTTTTAAAAGAATCGAGCAAATGTCAGACTAAAAATGGTCAGCAAGGGCTTCCACCAGTGCAAGACAATGTTTAAAAGCTAAAAACATGCATAAAAATACACAGACATTTTAAAAGAATCAAGCAAATGTCAGACTAAAAATGGTCAGCAAAATCAGCATTGCTCTGCCAGATCAGTCTAACATTCAGTAGATGCTGGGTAGCTCAGTGGTTTAAACATCTGGGTCGGGAGTTCGATTCTCCGCTCTGGCTCCCTGACAGAAGTTCCATAGGGTCCCTTCCAGCTCTGCAGTTCTAAAATTATTGTTATGATTTTTATGCTGAGTCAGACCTCTGGTTCCTGAAAGCCCAGTTTCATCACCTATGACTGGCTGTTCCTCCCCTGCCTTTCAAGAAAGATTCCTTCCTTCCTGCCTCAACCTGGAGATTGGAGTGCGATTGGAGGTGTGGGGGCTTCTGGTTGCAAAGCAAGGGCGTTCCAGCCCTTTCCCCAAATAAACAACAGCCTATTAAAACGGCAAACGAAGAAGTTTTGTCCCCTCCCCCTTACCTCATCTTGCGATCGCTGCAGTTTGGGGTGCTTCTCAAACACGACCATGCAGAAAGCAAAGAGGAACATTAAGAATCCATGCCCGCAATCTCCAAACATCACAGCAAATAAGAAGGGGAAGGTGATGATGGTGAAGAGAGCTGCAGGATCAGAGAGATATAAAGAGCCCGGCTTTTATAACCCGGTGGTTTATAACGCCTGGGAGCAAGACTCTCCGTTTGCTGAAGAATCAGGGCTCAAAAGCTGCCTCTAAACCTTGACCCAGACGTCTAAAAAAAATAAAGGTGGTCCAGTGGTAAAGAAATGCAAGCAACTTGGGAAACGAGACTGTGCCACCAGCCTTCACATCAGGCACTTTCTCTTAAGATTTCTATCCAGGTATTCATTGAGAAAGAAACAGGAGTAAAAATAAGCAAGAGAAGGGATCCAACACACACTGCTGTAGATCTATCATCTATGCAGACCCCGAAGGGCTCAAGGGAGCACCTGTGTGTTCTTCTGAAGGTCCAGCAACGGCCAACTGGAAAAACAACATTAAAATCCCCGGTCTCTGTTCCACCAATCAAAAGTTAAAAAAAAACCCTGTTCAACGCCTACGGTTAAATCACGCTGAACAGAACTGCAGACCTAATAGGCACGTTTAAAGATCAAGTTGAAAAAGTTTTGCCAAAAAGATAAAAAACATCAAGGTCCTCTGAAATATTCGGTAAATGGTTGATACTTCCAAGGGTTAAGGAGCATGCACTTTTCCCCCCCACACACACACACTCATCACCCCTTACTGGAGTTTTCCAAAGCTTTTTAGAAGAGTGAACGGGGAGGAGAAAAGAACAGTGTGATCCAAATAGATTCTATTTTTTAATGCATATTTTTCCAGCGTTCACATTACCCACCTGGATTTATTTCCTGGTAGTTTCCAATTCCGTAAGCATCCACTATGTTCTGGAATCCAGAGGTGAATTTATTGGTCCGTATCAAAGTTGGAGGGGTTTCTTTCGTCGGGATCGTGTTCATGAATGAAGGAACAGAAGCCCCACTTTCTCTCTGGTTACAGAATTAAACAACTGCATTAATATTTCCAGCACATTTGGTGAAGCCAGAAAAAGAAGAGGCTTTTTCCTTATTCTGTCACCCAGGCACGAATCGTGGATGCACAGTAATAAAGTATACGCAGCCGTGGTCTCAAAATTGCAAAGAAAGAAAAAAAAAGGCTTACAGCAGTGGTTCCCAACCGTGGGTAACCCAAGGTTCCTGGACTACAATTCCCAGAGGCCTTCACCAATAGCATTGCTGGTTGAGGTTTCTGGGAGTTGCAGTTCAAGAACACCTGGGTGATCCAAGGCTGGGAACCGCCGTCCTAGAGGCAAGGGTGCACAAAAATACATGCATTACATTCCACATCTGCATGGAGCTGCCCTAGAGGCAAGCAAGGGTGCACAAAAATACATGCATTACATTTCACATCTGCATGCAGCCAGATGTGTACAAAATGTCGGCTGAAATTGGACAACCCACGGACTGGATTTTGCCATTCACAGATCACGTAAGACAGCTCGGTGGTTTAGGTCTCCGGCAGAGCCAGAGTTTGAGAATTCAATTCCCCCCCACTGGGGCAATTCCTTGACAGGGGCTGGACTTGATATACCCCATGGGGTCCCTTCCAAATCACTTACGGAGCCCTCCTCCAGGGCTCGGCGCATGTTCAGCAGGTCGGACACCGGACACCAGACTTCAGCGATCAAGCATTTGTTCGTGACGTCGAAACTGCAGAGGTTCAGCACGTGGTAGATGGCTTTCATTTTCTTCACCTGGACGTGCCAGGTGTAGATCGACTCAGAAGCTTTGCACAGAACTTGACGTAAATAATCCTCCGTTTTGTGCAGCACCTTTAATAAATATTAATATATATATCAATCTATGTATCTGTATATGAATGCCACAGTATCAAGAAAGGGTAGGTTTACAAGAACGGGGCCATAAATTCCCTCCCTGCTCCAGGCGGTGTGGATGAATGCTGTTCCTTTCCTCCAACTTTTTAAAAAATCTTAAAACGTACAACACAAGAAATATAAGGTCTTCCATGACAGCTGTTTGAGTCTCCATGGGCAAAAGCGAGTGTCAGTTAACGTTTTACTCACAACGTGGAGATCCTGAATGCGAATCTGGAGTCCCTCCATCACCATCCTGTGCTCCTCCAGAGTGCTGGGATAAGGGTACATATGGCAATGGTAGCTGGCAAAATAAGAGCAAAAAGTTCAGACAGACAAATAAAGGGCATTAAAAATAGTGCTGCCAAAAGTGAGGACGTATTGAACACGATCTTCCAGAAAAGTTCTACCTATAGAATGAATGACAGTGGGTGCCTTCTGTGGCTTTTGAACGGTGGTCCGAGAAATACTTTAAATCCTTGGGAGCCTATTGGGGGGTGGGCCTCATGAGATGATTAGAAATGACCGACAAGGCTCCTGAGCGTAAGCTTGCTATTACCAACTTTCATCGGATTTCGCAGCCCGTAAAGCTGTGGCTAAGACAAGCTGTATCTGGTCAGTCGAAGGCTGGCCTTCCAGGAACCTCACGTAACCCACTATGAACAAAGCAGGATATAAATATAATTCACAAATACGTGCATCTGTGCATGCGTTGTCAACCATGACACCGGGAGAGGTATGTTGTGGGCTGCATGACAACAGCGCAAAAAAAAAAAAAAACTGGCCGATTTCTCAGGGTGTTAAAGAATGTTGCCCTGAAAATGCCCCTGAGCCTTTTGAACCGGCAAACCATCCTCATTATTTTAGAACGGCAAAGCTGGAAAGGACCCTATGGATCGTCAAGTCCTGACTGTACTCCATACAGGGAAGAAGTCTAAAAAGCCGCTGAAAACAGCCATGTTGCATCTGGACTAACCGATGATCAGTATCTGAGTTGGCAGAGTGACCGGCTGAAATCTCACCTGCCAGGGCAGATTGCCAGGTCAGCCACACAATGGCGTGACATCTGGCAGCCATCAGACAGCAACAGGGAAGAAAAAGTGAAAAGCCCCAGGGACACCCAGACAGCTGGGTTCCCTGCACCCAAAAAAAGAAAATCCTCAATAAAACAGCCTGCTCCTGCAGTTCCTTCTCCAGCATTCAAACCCTCCCTTCTTGAAGGGACCAAGAGGGGTCTCACACAAGGCTGCCTGAAATGTTAACAAAGATGAACGGCACAAGGAAATCATGCTAATCCTTACCAGTCGCAGATCTTCTTAACCTTCTGGCCAATCTGTTCACCCCAATAGGAGATTAAGAAAACAAACCACTTCGCAGGTTCTCCCTGGAAAGAGAAGCACCAGTATTTCAAGTTTGGGATCAACGGGCGCCGCATTGGGGGATGTGCGGCCGATTTTATAGAGAACCAGCACAGACAATGTTTAAGAGCCGAGATTAAAATTAGGCTTTAATGTACAAAACACACATTTCACGTACACAAGCAGTTCAGGGAGCTTCCGTTCATGACGGGAGTAAAGAAAGGAGGAAAGAGAGAGGGGGGCATAAATCAAGAATTAAACCAAGAGTTCTCTTTTTTTTAAGCCACACTGTGCCCACCTTTGGATGGCATGTAAACAAACAATGGGAAGATCTCTTCATCATCCAGTGGCTGCACGCCAGCATCACAATAAACCATGGTTTATGACTAATAAATCTATGCTATAACAAGCTGTGGACTCATTTTCTCCCTTTTTATTCTGTGACACAGCCACAAGAAAGAGCTAAGATTTAAGTACTGGCTTTAACTACAGCTTGTTGTTTCACACACAAAGGGACAATCTGCGGTTAACCTTAATCGTGGTTTGCTTGAAAGAAACCACCATTGGTGAAGCGTTCGGTAAAGCGGGATGCAGTTCACAGGGACGTTATGTTATCAATGCGTCCTGTTTACTCACCGTATCTGGGTCTTCCAGACACTCCTCTACTTCTGAGTAAGAAACAATTGTATACCCTTTGCAGACCCGCCACAACATTCTCTCAAAAGCTTCGATTTTTGCTCGGTGAACTAAGCCAGAGATGAATCTGCAATAAAATTTAAAGGAAAAACTGTGTTGGAGGAGTACATATTACATGAAAGATACTGGCCATTCAGATTATTTGCAAGCTAAAATACTTCCGCCACTGACGCTACAGGCCACATATGGCAGATCAAAACACCATGAATTCAACGACCCCACCATTTCTGCCAGATTTTTTAAAAATTACTATTCTCTGCTTTCCCAGAAAGACCACAAACACTTGAAGCAAACCTCATAAAGCACATAGAAGTGATTTTCAGTCATATTTATCAGGACAGTGAGATTTTGTCATTCTGAGGCTAATGGCAGGCTACAAGCCTAATATATTTAATCAGGAGCACCTTCTAACGAACTGCTTCCAATTAAACATGCTTAAAATTCCGTATTAAGCAAAAGCAAGCCAGATGCTTACAAACGTGTGCGACACCTAAATAAAATACAATCCGCTCAGACTCCCTTCCTCACAAGAAGAGAAAAAATAAGGGCTGAATCTAATGCTCTGCTGGTGGGATTTTCTTCTCTCTTCCATCCTGCAGCTGCCCGAAAACCAGTTCTTCAGACTTCCTAACCCCCCAGAGCTGTTTTTCCGAGCGCCTGCCTTCTCCCGACCCTGCTGGATACCTTCGTTCTACGAGCAAAACTCCACCACTGGATCCTGTCCTATAAACAGGGCCATATACCAGTATGAACTTACGTGCTCCAGAAAGCTTGTTTATATGTTACCGAGACAGACTCTTCTTCAGCATTAAATGTACAATGCGCAAGAAGAGTCAGCGTTCTGAGTAATACACCAGTGTTGCCGATTGCCAACCACCACCCCCCGCTCAGAGTGTCACACATCAGCCTAATGTTTTTTTAATTACCTACCCTAGTTTGGCACCAAGCCTGTGCATGCAGCTGTAGTCCACCAAAGGCTCGATTTCTAAAGCAGGGAATTCTTCATAATTAGCCTGCACAGAGGACTCATACTAAAAACAACAATTAAAAGGAGAGTTATTGGATGGATGGCCTGCCTCCAGCTACAGCAGAACAGGGTGGATTTGATTTAAGCCACAAGGTTTAAAACCGGGATTTTTGGATGATTTAAATTTTTTTTAAACCACACCATTTAAACATTTTAAATCCTTGTTTAAATCACTTAGATTTTTTAAAAACCCATTGATATTTTATCCACCCTGCAGCAGAGTGTAGATTTATAGCGGTAGATTCAAAACATCTGACACCGATGTTCCCCTGTATCCGGCCTTGAAATCAATGGGACTTGTTGCTACTGATGTCTCCAGGAACGTTCCCTAATTTCAGTGGGTCTGTCCAGGTCTGGCATTTTGGTCTCCTGCAGAAGCCGATCAAGGTCCAGAATCTCTCCCCAGCTCCCACCTTTCCGCTCACCCAGTTTGAGAAGGTTCGGAACTTTGTCCGCACAACACACGCGATTACCTCAGCGGTTCTCCTGACGAAGGACCGAGTGATCCGCAGCATGTGGGTGTACTCTGTCAGCTCCAGGAGGTTCCTCCTCAGCTTCTCCTTGTTTTTCGTCACTTCTCTCAGCTCCACTTCGAGCTTCTGCAACTGCTCCTACAGAAGAAGGAAGCCAAGGCATTTGCACAGCTGTGATTTCGTACCGGTTCGCTCTGTTTTACCAAACGGGACCTAAAGGGGAGTGCAGGAGGGTGCTCGGCAACCGGTCAACAAAATCCACCTAGGCTTTACATCACTCACTCAAAAAAAGGGGGTGCTTCGTATTCTATTCCACCTCCGGTCCCCGAGCCACAAAGAAGGCAAATGGCAGGAAAGTCTGACAATCTACCGCCATGTTGTCGGTTCCCGTTCCAAGGGCTGAGCAAACGCAGCCTTCCAGATGTAGCCAGACGACAACATTTAGCATTTCCTGCAACTGTGTGTGCCGGCTAGGACCGAGGGAAAGTTCAGCAGTCTCTAGGGAGCTGAATGTGGTCAATACCCATCCTTCGCCATCATTTCACCCCTTCTGCTGAAGGTATGGAGTCTCCTGCCTGAAGAGGAGAAGGGGGGAAAAAAAGGTTTGCCCTCCTTTACCTGGATTTCCAACATCTGTTTAAGTGGGGGAGCAGCAGGGATAACATTTCCTTCTGGAAGAGGAATGTCTGCTCTCTTGATTTCCTGCACCAGGTACCCTGGAGTCAAGAAAAAGAAGAAACCCTTTTAAGAGAGCATTCTCCATTAACAGGAATATTTCTCTGAAAACGCTTTCTGAGAAATAACATTTTCCACCCTTCACAGCAGCAGGCTTTCAAAGTCCTTGCCTTAAGGAGACCCCTGCCACCTTTGCTGTGTCGGCTCCGGAAGCGCAATAGAAGGATGCTGAGCCTGGTCCCCAAGCTGGCTAAGCACAGGGAGATCGTTCACTCCATTTTTTAAAGGCCTCCTTGTACGCATACACAGCAAAGTGCGCTCAGAACTTCCCTGCCCAGCCAGAATGAAGGAGAACATCCATTTTAACACAATTTAGTGTACTTCAAACCATCCTGCATGCTTTTAACCTGGTGGTTGATTATAGTTTGTGAACCATAATAAATGGCTCACTGAGATTAGTGGTGGATAAAATTATCTTCTGCTAACTATCTGCCTGGGGAATTCTCCATAGGCCTCAAAAGAACCTTCCTTGAAAACAGCACCCCTTTGTCCCAGAATGAACTATTTCTTAATGTTAGATTTGTATTTTTTTTAAGCTTGTGTACGAGTCAACCTTTTCTGGTAGTAGTCCAGAAAAGGTCCTGCTCTCTATTAACGCCACAAATTAATCCGATTTATAGGCACACCAGAAGGATCAGGCTGGGATAACAGGAAGGTTCCTTTGGGGCAGGATAATCCTTTAAATATCAGATTTCAGGCCGCTTCAGGTTTTAGAAATCAAAGATAATGATGGACATAACCCAATCAGGAGGTCTCCAAACAAAGTATATGCCAAGCAATTAAGTAATTAACACAGCAGCAGAGTATAAGACCCCAAGGATGTTTGCACACAATTCTTTGAACAGCAAATTTCAAATCCTTATGTAGAACTAGGATTGGGTGATCGTTAATCCAAAATCTTAGTAGTGTGAGAAGGCAATTAGCAACACAAAGCCCCGTTTTCAGCAACAACTGAGGAATTCAATAGCTTCCAGTCACATAGGTTAATGCGCTTATCTTGTTTTCCTAAAGGCAACTTGACTCCAGAGTCAAAGGGGGGGAGAAAGAGAGAAGATCGCACAGATCAGATTTCTTGAACGGTGAATAAATGACAGAACCCAGAGCTTACCTAAGATCCTTTCCATCTCTTCGCATTTCTTCACTTCGTTCACGTATTTTCTCTGAAACACACTGGTGCTTGGGTTGAGCTGGAAAGACGGAAAACGTTATTTGCGTGATTAAGGAATAATCTGCCGTAAAATAGGTGACAGCAATCTAACACAGATTGATTTTAAAAGAGGATTAGACTCAATTCACTGACAAGGTCTCTCATGACCTGATAGTTCATGACATACAGATGCCGAACTTCTCTGTATAGTGCCAGTGAATCACTGAGTACCCTTTAACAGAAAGGAACCGCAAGAAAGCCTGCCCGGCCGGTACGCTTGCTAGAGAGACTTCGCTGATCCCTTTTGGAAATGTGATGCTCAAGCGGGAGATTCTGGTCTGATCAACCAGGGTTCTCTTACACTCAAAGGGGAACATTTCTGAAAATTCTGGTTGGAAAGAAGAAACCATATGACTGTTCACTTTCCCCATCCTAGGAGATGTATCAGAGCCTTTAAATCATGCAGCTATACATGATACCAAAACATGGATCGTATTGTTTTTAATGTAAATACCTCCTAGTGTAAACTCTTGTTCAGAAACGTTTATGGCATAATAAAGGTGTTTTAAAAACTCTGTTGCTACACTGCAACACACCAGGCATAGCAACGCCCCGGGGAAAGAGTGAACTCTCTTGCTGATTTTCCTTAACTGCTGGATTAAGACTTTTCATTCAATAATTTGAGACGATAAAAGACCAATGTGTTTTAATTAAATTAGTTTTAGTACGGAAGACTCAGTCTGAAGTGCAAACCTCCCTGAAAAAAAAAACTGAAGAGATCTGGGTGTTTCAAGCAAAACAGGAGGATTCAATAATTTGAGAGGATAAAAGACCAATGTGTTTGAATTAAGTTAGTTCTAGTATGAAAGACTCAGTTTGAAGTGCAAAGCTCCCTGAAAAAACTGAGGAGATCTGGGTGTTTCAAGCAAAACAGGAGACTCTGCACGCCTGCAGTGAAATGATAGGAATGCCAATCCAAATGCAAGGATTGAGTAAAAGCTCGGTGTTAAAGGGTGCATCATAAAGCAAGCATCTGAATTATCTTTGCCCGACAGCTGAAGGACGGATTATTCCATATCCGGTTGAGATATGAACCAGTTTCTGTAGGAAGAACAGGAACAACTGGACTATAAAAAGTAAGAAACAAATACAGTAAGGACACGCTGTACTTCTCACTCATGAACTAGCCATGTTGGTCAAGAGCCATCGCACCACCTGCTCTGAAAAAAGGTGGCACCAAGTGATTGAAGCTGTTTGCTGTTTTTCTGCAAATCTCTATTGAAGGAAGCCTAACACTTTCGTTCAGGAAGTCCAGAGACATTCTTCTGTTCATTAAATGTTACAAGCAAGGTTTTCTTTTTAATTTGCCTGCTGGTCAACCGAGGACCAAAAAAAAAAGCCTTCAAGCTGATTTCTGCAACTCCTAATATGAGAAGGCTTTTTAAGGAAATGGGGGGGAAGGGAATGAAGTAAGGAAATTCTTATGAGGACTCTCTTCTTTGGTGAGGCTGGCTTTTTACCTCTGCACTGCCAGCTCAAGGCGTTACACATCAGATCCTATGCAGGAACAGAAAGCGGCAGAAGAGGTAGGGGTGGCCCTCTGTACCATCATTATAGGTTAAAAAAAAAAACAAAATTAAAAATAATGAAAATAAAGCAGCAAATAAAAAAGTCAAAAAAATGTGGTGGCACCTTAAAGTCTATAATATTGTTTTTTTGTTTTTTTTTTTAATGTGAGCTTTCATGGACACTTCCTCACCCATTAGAGAAAGAGACCTCACAGGGCAAGTATTTATACATTGCATCCAGCTAGAGCTCAATCTGCAGAAATTTGGTTGGTTGGTAAGAATTTGTCTTATCTATTGTTTTTTTTAATTATTCTCTTATTTATTTATTTTTCTCTCTCTTATCATGAATAGGAAAGAATTCCTCCTGTAAATCCAAGTAGAGGGATGATGACTTTACCTTCTCCCCCCCCCCCAA